TACAACTAGGAAACAATACAGGAAAGGCAAAGAATCTAGTTTCTAAATCAAGCATCCAAAGTTACCTGTCCCCTCGTGGGTAAAAGTCCACCCAAGCAGGATTGGCCCAGAGCAAGGCCTCAAATCCTGCCACAGGTCTGAAGCATCTTCCAGCGGGGACCCACAGAAAAGGGTCAGAAACAACCAGACAAGCCCAGAAGGAAAAGAGCAAAATCAAAATAAAGATAAAAACCACCATTGTCACCTCCCACGGGTCTCTCACCCACATCTGTGTCACCCAGTCCACGACCAAAAGGCAAGCACAGTTTTTTCATGTGTCTGTAGGCCCCATGTGCCTCCTCCAGGTCTCCTTCTGGATTTCCATCCTCCTTTCTTCCTTCCTCAGTCTCCTCTGCAGCTTCTTCTCTCCCTGCTCAGCTCCACCCTCCATTTGGGTGGGGCAGGGAACCTGGAATCTCCCCCTTTCCTGGGGACCACCCTGTTACACTGGTATTGTAAGAAGTCTTAATGTGAAAATCTTCATTCTGGATTGATTCGAAGGCTGCCCTGTCTGATGGGATTCCTACTAGCCACATGTAGCCATTGCATTTAAGCTGAGTAGAGTTTTGCATAAAATAAAAAATTTCCTTACACACGCTAACTACACCCCAAACCACATGAGGCTAGTTGCCATCATATTAGACAGTAGAGAGAGAACATTTCCACTGTTCTAGAAAGTTTTTTTGGACAGCACTGATCTAGAAAGTCAAAAAGATCTAAGTAAATCATCTCAGAATCTAGACAGTGTTTAGAATGGTGATCCAGGAAAAATAAATGACAATTAATCTTGGCTAGTTTGCTACTAGCTATGATGCACAGTTTGCTGATTTGTCTAACGTTAAAAAAAAAAAAAACACTGAAATTTTGTTCCCTCCTAGTATTTCCAGTTGTTAACAAAATTCAGCAGAAAGCCAGCCTCCCTGGCCCCACATACCCTTGAACTTCTGTTGCCTACATCCTCGTCATGGTCAAGTGACCCAAATCACTTGCTGACAAAGCAGATGTCCTGGCTAAAGAATAGGTGCTTGTCAAAAACCATGTGGGTTTTATTTATTTTCTACAGACGCAGCTCATAAATGCAAGACTAGTGGATTCCTACCATTTTAAAAGATCAGATAAAGTAAGGTTCTGCTTGTACCAGATGCTAGCACTTTCCAAATGTTCTCCTTGTACCAGACACTAGGACTTTTGAAATGGCCCAGCAATAGGTGAGTAGGTGAGGCAGGGTAGTCATATCATATAGAAGAAGCATCCAAAGATAAGTACATGCACCCCTTCTCCTTCTGATCTCCTGGGTCTTTTTTTTTTTTTTTTTACAAAAAAGACTTATTTATGCGTACAAGAGCTGGGGTACAGGCCAGAGGTGTGGCGCGGGGAGGGGGTGAGAGGATTCACCAGTGACAGAGTGGGGAACAGAACAGGCAGACTGACTGGAATACACTGTTGAGGGGAGCAGCGGGTGAGACAGGAAAGGTCTGCTGTGCCATGTGGGTAGCTCCCTGGCCGGCCAGGGATTGAACTTGTGCTACAGAGGCTGCTAATAACTTCACAGGGCTGTGCTAACCTCTTGTGACACCAGGGAGGCCCTGATCTCCTGAGTCTTTGACTCAGTCAACAATTCCTCCCACCCCAAATTCTAGCAACCCTCTATAAAGGCATTTTATCTCATAATTATTCTAGGTCTTTCTAATACATAGAGAGCCTTTGTTTATCTCTCTTTATCCCAGTCGGAAAATAAGTTTTTGTGAAATTAGGAAAGGTTAAAGGAAGAAAGAACTGGAGTCTCTTTATCTTTCTGCCTTTTCTTGCTCACAAAGGGGAGAAGGGATTGTTCTTGAGGTAGGAGGGAGTTAGTTTCAGGAATCTGGGCTCCCCCATTTCTCTGCAAGGGACTGCATTAAGAAGTAAGGGAAAGAGCTCTGACTGCCCAGGGTATGCCTTTGCAGATTCTCTTAAAGCCTGGATCCTGGAACAGCAAGTGGTCATCACAAAGACATTTCTAAACATAGAATGTTGCTGACTTGGCGACTGATCAGTGCTGCAGTTATTAGAAAGGTGGGTTGGTTTTAATGGGCTTACTCAATCGAAATTTGACACACTGTTCTACTGGAACAGCCAAAACCCAAAAAAAAATCTTATGCTCATGCAGCCTCCACAGTTGCAAAATATGTTCTCAAGCATCATTTCACTTGATGGCCATGATAAATCTGTGGGCTAGGGCAAAACATTTGCAGAAGAGAGAAACCCTAGGGGTAAAGCGACCTACTTAAGGTCACATAGTTGGTAGGTGGTGGCTGAGTTTTGAATTCCACTTGCTTTTCTGAGAACATTGCTTTAGTTCTCACTTAGGTCTTGGACTCATAAAATAATACACATTTAAGGTGGAGACTCGATAGTGTAAATATGATAGCTTTTTTTTTTAATGTGTAGAAGAGTAAAGGTAGAAGAGGTCCCCTAAGTATGAGTGAAGTAACAATGATTGTTCTATTTTAGTTTTTAATTAAGCCTCCCATTTGTACTAAAGATAGCTTTTTTTTTAAAGGTTTATTTATTTATACAAGAACTGGGGTACAGGTTAGAGGCATGGGAGGGTGAGAGAATTCACCAGAGAGAGTGGGGAGCAGAACAGGCAGACAGACCGAAGACACTGCTGAGGGCAGCAGCAGGAGAGGCAGGAGAGGTCTGCCATGCCTTGTGGGTTTCTCCCTGGCCAGCCAGGAATCAAATCCACACTGCAGAGGCTCCAGGCAGCTTCACAGCGCAGCACTCAACCCGCTATGCCACCGGGGAGGCGCTATGATAGGTTTTTACAATAAATAATATTTGCTGAGTGTCAGTAATACAAGGGATAAACTAATAAAAAATTGGGGTTTTTTATTTGAAATAGCTAAAGTGATGCATTTATAAGCAATGGATGCACATTTTCCTGGGGAAAACTGGATGCATTGGTCCTTATTCAAGGCAAGAAAATGACAGAGTCCTCTATGGAAATTTTCCTGAAAGGAAAGGATTTTGAAGCCAATCCTGAAAGATATGCCCAAAGACTCAGAGAAGGACATTGTAGCCAGGTGCAGAGGAATGGTGGTGAGAATGAGATGCAAAGTGCTAGCTTCAGTTTGGTGGAATACTTAAAAAAAGGACAGAACACTGGTTTATTATTAATTGAAAATCTACCCGACCCTACTCGTGTAGAGCTGAGTTTACAGAAGTGTGCAAAAGGATGTGGTCCCTGCATTTATATTGCTTCAACTTTTAGGGGGAGAGACTAAGAATTGATTGTTGATATTAAAATAATTACACAGGTGGGCCTCCCTGGTGGTGCAAGGGGTTAAGACGTAACCTATGAAGCTGTCCACAGCCACTGCAGCATGAGTTCGATCCAGCCAGGGAGCTACCACATGGCACAGCAGACCTCTCCTGACTCGCCCGCTGCTCCCCTCAGCAGTGTACTTTGGTCAATCTGCCTGTACTGTTCCCCACTCTATCTCTGGTGAATCCTCTCACCCTCCGCACCTCTGGCCTCTGTACCTCAACTCTTGTATGCATAAATAATAAATCTTTAAAAAAAAAAGAAAGAAAAAAAATAATTACACAGGTACTTCAGATTGTGATTGCTACATAAAGGAAGAGAACAGGATTCCCCGGAGTGTGTAGCACAGCAACATAAATTAGAGTGCTATTTGAGCTGACATGTGAAGGAGCAGCCATTAACTAGGTCAGTGGTTTGGGTGCAGAGGAAAGAGTGCTCAGGAAAGGGGCCTGTGCAAAGGCCCTGGGAAGATCAGGGTAACTAGGAAATGGGTCGTGTGCTGGAGTTAAGAGAGTGGAGGGGCGAATAGTGTGAGATGTGACTAGATGGGGGCACTTACTTGACCAGCAGATCACCCTGGCTGCAGTGTGGGAAATGTTTGGAGGGAGAGTAATAGAAGTTATGGAGAGACCCCTTAGGAGGTTGCTGAGTGATCCAAGCTGGAGATAACGGTACCCCAGTGCAGGGCGATGTAGTAGAGGTGGAGAGAAGAGGAGTTTCCATAGATTTAAGAGATGAAATAGACAGGACTTGGTGATATGTTAATGCCATGAAGCAGCCGATAAGGCTCATTCCTGAGTTCTGGATGCTTCAGTGGGATGGATGAAGCACCTGGCCACTGAGATGGGGAACCTTGGAAAGGGACCCAGTTTGGGGAAGAGAGTGATGAAATCAGTTTGGAGCTCAGGTAGGCAGTTGGGTCTATATGACAGGAGCTCAAGTAGAGAACTGAGCAGGAATTAAATGTGGAGGTCATAGCACACGTGAGCAATGCATATGTTTTCCCAGGGAGAAAGGAGATCAAATGAGGGAAGAAAGATCAAGCACTGAGGATGCTCAATGACTCAATATAAGAGAAAAGGTCAGCTCACCAGTATTTAGAGGTGGGAGAAAAACCAAGAGGTGTTTGAATGTCTTGTCATTGAGGTAGATGAAAATGTACTGAAAGGTGGAGTATCTTTCAATTAATCTCTGGACCCATCTCCCCGTTATCACCCCCCAAAATCTATTATGTTCATGGCAGCCTTGAACATGCATCTCCAGATCCAAGTCACTTCTGTGGTGCACTGTTAAAAAGTATATTTTTCTATTACTGCAACAGATTGCAGTGTGTGTGTGTGCGCGCGCGTGTTAGTTTTCTATCTAGAATAACCTCCTTTCCTTTTCCTACGTCATTGCACTTTTGGCTGCCACTGCAGTTTGTTGCAAATCTGAGCTTGTTTAATCCCACAGAGTACTAAACACTATTATCTAGTCTCCAGGCCTCTGCAATTCTACTCCAGGCGCCCCACCTTCATTTGCCAGCTGGGATCTCTTAATGAGCTAGCTGACTGCACACAGTTCAATACAAAAACTATTTTAGTCGGGGAAATGTGTTTGAGGAACCCACTGATGGAATGTACTTCCACTCTCTCTGGAACTCTTTTTTCAGGATGGCTGTAGCTCCTCCGAGTTACTGTTTCGTGGCCTTCCCACCACAGGCTAAGGAAGGTCTGGTGGTATTTGGAAAAAATTCAGCTCGGCCCAGGGATGAAGTGCAGGAGGTTGTGTATTTCTCGGCTGCTGATCATGAACCTGAGAGCAAGGTTGAGGTAAGTCACATGCTGCAGTCTCTCCATTAGCATTTATTCTTTCTCTGGCTTTGCCCGTTAGACCTTTACTTCTTTCACGGAAGCTTGCTCCCTGGTCTGATCTGTCCCTTTGGTTCTGCTCATTCCCCTTTCTATGCAGGTTTGGCTACCGCCTTAAAAATAGGGTCAGTGGTGAAATTTATGTTTGTTGCTCTGGTCTTTGTTCTATAATTAAGTAAAATATATATTTGGTTTCCAACTCCAATATACACAATGTAAACAATGAATATTTATAGAAGTCCAGCTTCTACCCCTGCCGCCTTTACTCCATTTCCTTTTTCTTCTCTAAGTAACCAGGTTTGGGCAGTTTTTTGGTTTGCCCTTCCATTTAAAGTCATAAGCTACACACACACACACACACACACACACACGTATATGCAACCAGTCCCTTCCCCCTTCCTTAGGTGAATGGTAGCATGCTGGATGCACCTTTCTCCACTTTGCTTTTTCCAACCAAAACCATGTCTTGGAGATCATTCCACAGTGCTTCATTCGATGGATATACTCTAGTTTACCCAGTCCCGTATTGCTGGATATTTGGATTGTTTTCCAGTCTGTTGCTATTACAGATGGCACTCAAGTGAATAATAGTCTTGTGCATCTGTCACAGTGGGTTTGGCATATATATATATTTATATATATATTTTATCATGGTAAAATAGTACACATCGATTTTTTATTTTAAATGCCTTTAAAATGCTGTTTTTGTCGGGCCTCCCCTGGTGGCGCAGTGGTTGAACGCTGGGCTGAGAGGCTGCCCGCAGCCTCTGCAGCACCGATTCATTCCCTGGCCACCGGTGAGGGTTCCACAAAAAAAGAAAAAAATGTTGTTTTTGTCACTCTTGGCCAAGAGATGCCTAAAAATAGCATTGCTATGTTGCATGGTAAATAGGTAATTTTGTTAGCTATTGCTATATTTCCTTTAGTAGGTAGAATATAATTTTGCCTTCCCTCCTGAGTATATGACTGTTTCTCCACATTCCTGAGCATGTTGTCAAACTTTCTTGATGGCTGTTTTGCATTAATTTTACACTCTGCTATTTCACTAAATTCTTTTATTGCTTGGATCAGCTTTTCTCAATGATTTTCTTGGATTTTCCAGTCATCTTGTTATATCACCTGCCAATAGAGATAGTTTGTGTATTCTTAACATCTCTATCTTCTTCTCTGATTACATTGGCTTATAGTTTGAATTCCTTGTCAAATAGTAGTGGAAATTAGAAGGTATCTTTGCCTTTATTTCTGATGTGAGTTGGGCAGTAACTAGTGCTTCCTTTAGGTAAGATCCTGGCTTTGGGATTGAGGTTTATATATTTTATCATATTAAAAATTATCTATCAGTTCCTATTTTGAGTACTTTTTAAAAAAAACTCAGAAATAGGTATTAAATTTTGCTAAAGGTCTTATCAGTGATTATGGAGATAATTATTTGATTTTTTTTCTTTCTATTTATAAGGTACATTTTATTTATATGGTAAATTGAACCATTTTTACACTAATGGAGTAGCCTTCTTGGTTATGGAATATTTAAGTGTGTGTGTGTGTGTGTGTGTAGGTTTAAATAAGAGTTGTTAAGGAAAAAAAACAAATTGGGAACTGGTAAATTAGCTAGTTCTTTTCACTCTTATAACCTCTGCTCTTTGGTGTTCTATACTTTACAAAATAAACAGATTTTTCTGGTGATTGTGCTAGGTTTTAAATGGGTATTCATCAGTATGTATATTATCTTATCTGAATCTTTTATCTGTTTCAGTCGTTTAGAAGTACTTATCACCACCAAAGAGCTTAGGTTAGATGAATTTAGCAGAGGAACTGAAATGGACAGAGTTGAGACTTGTCATTGCTGTCTGTGGATGGGGCCATGGCTGACCCCTCTCCCAGGACCTGCACCAGAACCACCAGCCTCTCCCACGGCACTAACAGTCCTCATTCTTAAACTTGAGTGCCACTTTTCCTTCATACAGGTAGTGGAGAGTGCTAGCTTCTCTGGTGATCATGCTAGGTTTTAAATAGGCCTTCATTAATGTTTGAATATCCATGTCATTTGAATTTGAATGGCTCTTTATTTCCCTAGAAGTGAGTGGAATTGATATGGATGATGTTTGCTGGTTGGAATTTTTACTGACCTTCCCCCTCTGGCTACTTTAGATTTGTCCATCTTTTCCCCAGAGTACCATTAAAAACTAAAGCAATGTTTTGATTTTTTATCTGGGTAGATTTAGTTCCCCAAAGATGCATCAAATCATCAAATGCTCAAATTCCACATGCTCTTCTTATCGAGTGATGGACACTTTTCCATGGCATGGATTTTAGTGAGGTTTGTGGTGGCTCCGACCATTGGAGTGTGGTGGGATTGATGCCCTGCAACCTCCTGGGCTGGGGCACAGAAGGATTCATCTGTGCTTGTCCCTCTCTCAGGATCTAACCCTAAGAACCCAGGCACCATGCTGGAAGGATCCCAAGCTCAACCCGCACAGAGAGACCACAGGGAGGGGAACTGAAGTCCGCTAGCTGACAGCAGCACCCGCTGCCCACACATGAGATGATGCCAGGCCCAGACACATGGAGACACACAGTGCCTGCTGTGCCCCATGCAATTCCAGACCTATCCAACTAGCAAGCACAATAAATGGTGCTTTTACACTACTGAATTTTGGGGTTATTTGTTAATAACGTTAGTCACTACAATATCACACAAGACCATTTACAACTATATCTGAAATAAATATTTTAGAAAAGTTCATTTTTACTTTGTGGAAATAGGGATATTTTACTTTCACAGTGAGAATCGTTTTGGTAATAGACTAGGTTCCTTTCGTTAGCTAACCCAGGCCATATTATATTGTGTGGTCAGAAAAGTCATGACATGTTTTTTTCTGTTTTTTCCAATGCTTTATGACTTTTCCCACAACCCAATAACTCAAATACACTGGTAGTAAAATTGCATCCCCTTGTATGAATAGACGCAGTCAGAGACATACCAGCATTAGTCTCTAAGGCAGCCCTGGCTTTTCAGACTTGCATGCATGAGTCTGGAGCTGCTCCTGTGCGTTTGTACATTCATCTTCTGTGGGTAAAATAACCTCACAGATCAAAAACCAGATACTTTTCCCTCTATCTCATTTGTTCCTTTTCCTCTATCAGCACCATTGAGTACACAAGATAATTCCAGATGGGAACAGTCATGTCTCTGAAATGAACAGTATGCATATGCTTTGTTGTTGTATATTATTCTTTTTTTTAAAGATGTATTTATTTATGCATGCAAGAACTGGGGTACAGGCCAGAGGTGTGGGGGGGTGAGAGAATTCAGAGACAGAATGGGGAGCAGAACAGGCGGATCTACTGAAATACACTGCTGAGAGGAGCAGTGAGTGAGACAGAAGAGGTCTGCTGCGCCATGTGGGTTAGCTCCCTGGTCAGGGATCGAACTCATGCCACAGTGGCTGGTGATAGCTTGATAGTGCTGAGACTTTAGCCCCTGTGCCACCAGGGAGGCCCCTCATAGGAGCACTTATTAACCTACAGATAAAAACTAAAACTCATGAAGAGTAAGACTCTCCCATTAAAAACCATCTATTTCTCAAATGTTTCATGACATTTTAAACAAACATATTCTGTAGTTTTCTTAGAAAGCTCATCCTTGGCTGTTGAGATCCTATGAATTCATTTTCTGAGAATAACCATGTGCAAAAAAGTCATCCAGCTCACTCACACACACCCTCCCCTCTCCCAGCTGGGCCATGTTCCCAAGTGGTCTTCCCTCCCACTTTTCCACGTACCCACCCTTCCTCCTCCTCAGTCTGTCTACCTTGTCCATCAACTATCTACTAAACCTACATGTGCAACTTGCTTGAGACTGGAAGAATCAGAACTAGGGTCCTGAAGCATTGAGATCTTTCAATTCTAAAATTATACTGCACAGTTTTGTTCAACTACACAGTTGGCAGATTGGAGCATTTTATTTTATGTTCTTTAATCTTTTTCCTGTGGATGGTGGGTTTTTAACAACTTCTCTCTTGGTTGCAGAGTAGGATGTGTATATATATTTCCATTTATGAAAGTCCCTTTGTCCTCCAAGGACACAGTACACTATGCATCTCAGAAATGATCTCAGCTTTACCTCAGTCCTGCTCCTCCCCAGGGCTACTGTGTGGGTAGAGTCTATTCTTATGTACTGGAACTTTCTATTTAGAAAAAAAATACTGTTCCAGAAAAACAGTAGATTTCAACTACAGTCGACGTTATTTGTATGTGGTGTCCAAGAGGCTGGCTACACCACAATTTATGGAGACAAACTTAGTAGACAAGGCAGATTTGACACATACTATTTTTTGAAAGTCTCTTTTTAAATTGTAATAAATCTCAACTCCATTGTTTCCTTCCTTTGAAATTTAAAGTCTCCATTTTTCATTTTTAAAAATTTATTTCTACTTTCCGCTACATGAAGTTCTGTATGGACTCAGGGTAGTGTCCCTGGCCAGGCCATGCAAATTTCACGATTTGGGGCAGGCTTTTGGTAGATCATTTTCCTTTCCCTCCCCAATGAAAATATTTGCAAGAATAGAAAATCACCTATGAATGATAGCTGGTTGTGTAACAGGGTGGTTCCCAGGAAAGGGGGAGGTTTCAGGTTTTTTGCCCCACCCAAGGGAGGGTGGAGCTGAGCAGGGAGAGAAGAGGCTGCAGAGGAGACTGAGGAAGGAAGGAAGCAGGATGGAGATCCAGAAGACCTGGAGGAGGCACATGGGGCCAAGAGACATGTGAAGAAACTGAGCTTGCCTTTTGGTCGTGGACTGGGTGACACAGATGTGGGTGAGACCCGTGGGGAGGTGACCATGGCAGCTTTTATCTTGATTTTGATTTTGTTCTTTTCCTTCTGGGCTTGTCTGGTTGTTTCTGACCCTTTTCTGTGGGTCCCCACTGGAAGACGCTTTAGACTTGTGGCAGGCTTTGGGGCC